TACTTTTCATGTATTACATTTATGTCATAGATCAAGCAAGAGCACCTGCTAATACTTTTTAGACCTTTCCTTTTATTTTTTAAATTTGTTTTTGAATTAGCATTTTCAAGTTCATTGGGGAAAACACCTTAAATCCCTAAAGAGAAAAAATAAAAATAAAAAGTGCTTCTTTTATACTTCCCTTCTCTTGAGGCATTTGTTTCTCGTCCTCAAAAAAATTTGTGTGTGCACTCATCTTGAGTTTTTTTTAATTAATGTGTATCAATGTAGCCTACATTAAGATTTATGATCCTAAGTGTGGGTTAAACACTCAGGACACAGATAAGAAGATGGATTTGGGGTTTGGGAAGGTAGCTCAGTGGTACAGTGCTTGCCTTGCATGCATGAGGCCCTAGGTTCTATTCCTCAGCACCACATAAGCAGAAAAAGCCAGAAGTGGCGCTGTGGCTCAGAGCACTAGCCTTGAACTGAAGAGCTGAGGGACAGCGCCCAGGCCCAGAGTTCAGGCCCCATGACCAAGAAGAAGAAGGAGGAGAAGAAGGAGGAGGAGGAAGGAAGGAGGATGTGAGATTGGGGTGTGCAAAGAGAAGGAATGATAGATTGGGGAGACAAGGAAGGCAAAATACCATGTAACAATGGGTAAAACCTGACTGAGTCCTAGGGAAAGTTCTAGACCATATACAGCACATCAGTAGGCTATGATGTTAGCCAGAGATGACCCTCTATTTGAGAAGGGCATCTTTGGGGTGTTATATTAATGTACACACATTCTGGTCTTCCTCACGTCTGAGCCCCTATGTCTACCTCCTGTCATCAGATGAAGAGTGACTAAGATACAGTCCATGTCCTGCAAAATCATGATTCCTCATCTACCCCATCTCTTCAGCATCTCCTGGGTTTCAAATCCAGCCAAGAAGCATGCCTTGTTTTTCTTAGTTCCAATGGGGGAATGCTGGCTTTGTTTTTGCTTTGCAAATCTGTGTCCCTGGGTGTCTGAGGAGTTCAGAGCTGGGGCCTTCTTCTGTCCTGGATTGGGTTTTTTTTCTTCTCTGTATGCAGAAGCTTTTTCCCATGGTCCAGATCCACAGATGTGTTGTGGTTAAAGGCAGACTTAGTACTTCTGTGTCACACTACACCTGAGGCTTCACGTGACATCTCAGAGGACAATGTGCTATTTCTCCTCTGCCCCTTCTTGAAACTGAAGGGTTGGAGAGATGATGGTGGGGGGCAGACAATGAAAGGGGTGACATTGATTGGGATGTATCGTACTCATAATCTGACATGTGGAATTGAAACCCCTTCAGACAGCTACTTCAAGTTAATTAGAAAATCACCTAGCTGTGACAGTCATATTCCATGAGACTGCTTAACTTCTGAAATGTAAAACTCATCTGTGTTGAGTTTGTGAGAAACCGGACTCCTAACTTCTCTTAAGAAATTGAAAAATACTCACATGGATGGGCTGTCCTACAAAGCTAAGGAATCACCCTCAAGTGTTTTAAGTGACTCAGGAATGTTGCTAGAGGTAAAGATGTAAGAGGGACTCACAAGTAGGTTTTCCTACTTGTGAGATGGCACACCCCTGGGAACTGGGCCTTGCCAGTTGCCCTAGTCTGAATCTACCATGTTCTCCAAAGGCCTCTGTACTCAAGTCATGACTCTCCCGTTGGTCCCCTAAAAGGGGGCCGAACCTTAGACGGGGTGGGGCCCGTTGGAAGGCTCTATATCATAAGAGGCATGCTTTCAAAGGAGACCACGAGATGCTGGTCTCTTCTTGTACTTTTCTTCACTCAGCCATGAGGGGAACAGATCTCTGCCAAGTGCTGCCACCGTGATGTACTGGGCTGCCACAGCTGGCAAAGCCACAGCCAACCATATACAGAAGCATTCAAAACTAGGAGCCAAAAGAAACCTTTTGTCTTTGTAAGTGGATTGTATTTGGTATTGGTTGTGTTTAGTAGCAAACGGACCCACTCATGTTTCATAGAGGGTGGAAAGGAGTCAAGTTTAGAAGAATAAACCAGGCATGGTGACACAAATGTGTGGTCCCAGTTACTCTGGTGGGACAGGTAGGAGGATTCCTGTCTGAGGCCTTCCCTCCAGCTTAGAAGTGTGAGACCCTCATCTGAAAAACAAAAGCCAAAGGACAGGAAATATGGCTCATGTGGTAGAGCACTAGCCTAAGTGTGAGGCTCTGGATTCTATCCTGAGCCCAGAGGAAGGGAGAAGGGAAAGGGAGGAAGACCAGGAAGATGGAGGAAGAGAGTAAGCTTTAGAATTCAAGAATTCCTTTGTTTGCAAATGAGGACATAATAGGTCATACCTAGGAAGAGTTAATGAAGGACTTATTCCAGGATCTGGCCCACGGAAAGACTCAGCGACATGATTGATGCAAAGGCTCCCAGCAGGGGTCGCTGTAGCTCTTCCCTGCCATCTGAACCATGATTTTCCCACTCAGAAGTAAAGCACTTGGCAAGGTGTTTGACCCACTGAGGGATGAACTGTCTGTCACTCGAAAGGATTACTAATCTCCGGAAACCATCAGATCACAGATAAATTCATTTCCCCACCATGCCACGTAAGCCAATGAGCTGGTTTTGATGACCAGGTCACACACTGGGGACCACAGGAAGGGAACCATTCAGAACTGAATTCCCCAGCAAAGTACTGGCTTCTGCTCACGTAGGCTGCAGATGCACTGGAGGATACAGCAAAAAGGATCGGGTCCCTCAAAGAGATCCTTCAGACCACCCACTTGCTGTGGCCGCATGAAAAATGGGACACTGACAAGTTGAAAAGGATGAAGATGTTTTAGCATTTTATTGACCATTTTAGGCATATGCATATATAAACTTGGAATTAAAAAAAATATCCGCATGAAAGAAAGCCATAAGAATGCTCAGAAATTATGTATTGGTGTGTTTTGCTGTGCTAGAGAATCAAACCTGGGCCTGGTTCATGCCAAGTACTCTACTACTGAACAACACCTCTGCCCAGCAATTAGATTTTCTAACAAGTTAATTTTTTATTGAAAAGACAAATACATAGGGCACTAGTGGTTCACACTTGTAATTCTAGCTACGTAGCACAGTGGGTCACTGTGCAAGAAGCTAGACAGGCAAGAAAATAACTGAAAAAGGAAAAGGAAGTCACTGCTAAAGAATAAAACCAGAAAATAATATTGTGGATGCAAAAATAATAGTGAGGAGAAAAGACAGAAGATACCTGGATGGGCCTCTCTCCATTCCCTGCTCAAAGCACAAGTGGGTATGTAAAGGCCCTGGAGCTCTAGGGAAGGAACTCGCGCACTCCACAGCAAATCTGCTGCCCACCGGCTCCCTCACCTGCTCCATATCTCCACTTCCTAGTGTTTTCTCCACCATGCATTGTTTTCCCCCTCTTGTCCCTTTTTGGTTGGAGTTTCATACATTTGTTTTCATCTCATTCAATGATGACATTGTGAGTATGGGGCGGGGGGGAGTACTGGGGTTTAGAACTTAGGGCTCCATGCTCTTGCCTGTTGTTTTTCTTTTCCACTCAAGGCTAGTGCTCTACTACTTGAGCCACAGCTCCACTTCCAGCTTTTCTGGTGGTTAAATGGAGGGAAGAGTCTCACAGAGCTTGCTGTGTGAGCTGGCTTCAGACTATGATCCTCAGATCTCAGCTTCCTGAGTAGCTAGGATCACAGGTGGGAGGAATGGGCGCCCATTCCTTCACATTTGAAAGGGATTTTTCATTTGAAAAATATATATTTTTGTCCCAGATCCCCATGATCGTACTACCATATGATGTCCCTAATTTTCTACTTTAGGTTTTCCATAGCCTCCTTACCAGATTTCTTTCACTTCCTACTCTTTCCTCCATTCTTTTCTCAATCACCATGTTTGAGGTGATTAGACTATTTTGGTGAGTTCCTTGTTTTGTTTGTTTGTTTTTTGTTGTTTTTTGTCTACCTAAATCCCCAGTGTGACTTACCTTGAAATACTTCTAATGGAAAGATTGGAAAAAACTATATTAAGTGAAGTAAGCCAGGCCCAAAGAAACTTAGGTCTCATGGTTTCCCTTATTTGCAATAACTAGTATATGTCTAAGTCAAGCAGAAAAGGTCAGATAAGTTGATCTTAGGGAAATGAACCCTAAGATATGTATTCAAATGTTTTTTTTCTTTTGTGAGATTGTTTCTAACACATTTATAAGATGATTTCTTTGTTGCTTTGTATGTCCTTCTCCCATGGTATAACCCTTGCTTTCATTGTATTTGAGATTGGTATAATTTGTGGAGGGGAAGGGGAAAAACAAATCGTTTAAATAGGGATACAGGTGGGCCCATTGCAACAATGAGATGTACAAGTTGTTATGTGGAATAAAGAACTTTACAACTTTGCGGGGAGGGAGGAGGATTGAGTGGGGAGGCGGGGAGATGGGAAGGGATGGGAAGGGGAAACAAAGGAGGAGGCTACAATGCTTGATAAGAAATGTACTCATTATCACGTAATTGTAACCCCTCTGTACAGTATTTTCACAATAAAAAAAGGAATTTAAAAAAAAAGAAAGAAATACTTCTTACCCCCAACCAATGAAGGGCATCCTAGTTACAGAAAGTCCCATTTTCTCTTCCCCTCCTAATCTTTATGTAAATCCCTTCAAGTTGGGAGGCTTTGCAGTATTGATCCCTTTGTGGAGTGTTCAGGGGAAAAGTCTGTTTCTTCACTTTGGAGGTTCGCCTGTGGGATTCATTTTCAGTTTTTGCCACACAAAGATGGTTTTGAATGAAGGAGAAAGAAAAACGCACGTCTTACCTCTGGGGTCAGCCTCTCACGAACTTGGAAACCTTGAGCAAGGGCGACCCCTGTTGTTAGCAGAGGAGGCCGGCGTGGAGGCGTGTGCAATATGGTCCTCCCGCCACCAGGGGCGCGGTGCGAGCCGGCAAGGGCGGCAAGGCGCTAGCGGCGCAGGCGCAGACGCACGCGCACGCGCACACACACGCTGCCGTTCTTCGCCCCGCGCCGCCGAGTGCCCTGCGGACTCGGCCGAGGGTCGGCGCCGCCGCGGGCCTCGGCCTTCGGGGGCGGGGGGGCTTCGGCGGAGTGCGGGTGGGCTCCGCGCTGCCGCCGCCGCCGTCGTGCCCTATGGGCAAGATCCGCCCGCCAGGCCCGGTAAGTCGTTCTCCTGAGGCCTGGGGATGGCGGCCCGACTGGGAGCGGAGACCCGGGGCAGGAGCACCTTCCCCGGGAGGGCGCTGGACGCGAGGCCGCGGCTTTAGGCCGCGAGGGGACTGGAGGACTCCGGCGCGCCTGCCGGACCCCGCGGTCCAGCCCGCCCTCCGCCGCGGGCGCCTCGCCCGGCTCGCCCCAGCTCTCCGGCCCGCCGCCGCCTCCCCGGCCCCCCGGGTCCCAGACCCGCTCCGCCCGTCTGTCCGTCCATCCCTCCCTCCCGACCCCTTCCGATCCCTCCGTCCTTCCCCGTGCGGATCTTGTCCTGACCAAATTGGGTCAGTGGGCCCCGCTGACCCCGAATGTCTGCCCCACGGAGGCTCGGGGTGCCCGTGGGGCTTCCCCGTAAAGGAGCTGGCCGGGCCAGGTGCGAGCCGTCGGGGACGAGAGCCGGAATCCGCCCCAGCTCGCAGACGGATGGGCGGGCGGCCTCGGGAGGCGATGTTGGAGGGCGCCACGCCGTCCCCACGTCTTGAGTGGATAAAAGTTGCCGCCGTGCAGAGATCAGGAGTCTAGGGAGTGCGAGATAACTTACTGACAGACTTCCAAAAGGTTGGTTAATCCGTGTACCGCATGGGTACCATTAGGACAGACCGCTGACCCGGAGCCAGCCTATCTATGGATCTGTCTCCCTGTATAGAGATACCTGGATAGCCGTATATACCTCCATGTACAGAGAGAGATACAGATGTTTTTACCTATATATGTTAGAGGGAGGAGTAGCTCTGATCGTGGAGTTCATCAACTTTATGGAGTACGAGGCGAGAATTGCTACACCCTTCCTGTAACTTCATTGGAGTTGGTTTTCTTTGTACCTGGCTTTCATTACCTGCATGTTTTCCCCTTATAAGCTTTCAAGCACAAACAGATGAGCCTAGGATACTGATTTTTCAAACTCTTTCATAGTAGTAAATAGGGGAAAAAATGGAAAAGTGTTCCGTTGAACACCCACATTACTGTTTACCTGTAGTGGACTTTGGTTTTGGTCCCCGCTGGTCTGTTGTATTTTGGCTGTAGCACATTATGAGTGTGATTGGGAATATTAAAACTTGACCAGGTGGCAGGGATGGAGGAATAGGGGTGAAAAAATCTTAATTCTCTGAACTGACAAATTCTACACAAAGTTGTATATTTTGTGAGCGTCCAAGGAAACCACCCTTCCACGTCCTTTCCTGATTATTTTCCTCTGTATGTGTGCAATATTTCTCAGGCTTCGGTGAGGCAGCTCTCTTTTTATGCTTGGTAGACTATGATTTGTATGGTTGTATGATGGGAATAGTTTTTTCCTAATTAATTAGGTATGTAATTCAAGTCTTAACAATTTTTACTTCTCTAAGTTATGTCCTCAAAGGGCAGATCTGCAGACCTTAGTGTGTTCCATAATAATTATTTTAAATAATGCTTGATATTTGCCTATTCATGCACTCCTACATTCAGGAAATGTTTTTAGAGTACTTAAGAGTGTCGAAGCATGGTGATAAGATAGAATCCCTGCCTTTCAGTGGCTTATGGTAAGAGACAGAGGTGTAAACCATTAGGTAGCATGTTACCGTTAGGTAAATGTGTCATGAGCAACCAAGTTTTGTTATGTTAAGGAAAACTAATTGGGGGTGGTTTTATTGTGGGGAAAGCAGTCAATAAAGGCTCTTAAGGTAAACTTAGAAAAATAAACAGCTGTGGCACTTTGGAGATTTCTTCCATGTTCTTTTTCCTGTCACTTGGACATGTTTTTTTTTTTTTTTTTAATTCTTTCCAGCTTAAATGGAACCTTGAAAAATCACCATCTGTCTTCTAGCTGAACCTTTTTTTTAAATAAACATTATCACCTTTTTACTGTACAATGTGAGTACATTAGCTGACCATGGACAGTGTCACCCTCACTTTCTCCAAGTTTTTCCCTCTCATCCCACCTACAAGCCTTATAGTTCATTTTCATCTTAGTGTGTAGTGAGCGCCACTGCCCTATTTGTTCACTCTTTGTCCATCCGTTTCTGTGTGCCCCCCTTTACCCTACCAAATACTGATAAACAAGACAGAAAAGAAAACGAAAACAACAACAACAAAAGCCTCTAACTTCTGTTTCCTGGACAGAATGGTGTTTATTGTATTTTTAAAAAAATGGCTGGGCATTTGTGGTTTATGCCTGTAATCCTAGTTACTCAGAAGGCTGAGGTGAGGATCGCAGTTCAAAGTCAGGTGACAGAGTCATAGTCATTTTTTAGTTGGGCATTGATTATTGTTTGGCTTACGGTTTGAGTTTTCCTATGTTAAGGTTTAAAGATACATACGTGAATAGTGAGTTTTTTTAAAGTTTGGGGTTTTGAGCTGGGCGCCCGGTGGCTCACGCCTATAATCCTAGCTACTCAGGAGGCTGAGATCTGAGGATCTCAGTTCAAAGTCAGCCTGGGCAGGAAAGTCCGTGAAATTCTTATCTCCAATAAACACTCAAAACCAAAAGTGGTGCTGTAGCTCAAGTGGTAGAGTGCTAGCCTTGAGCTGAAGAACTGAGGGACAACACCCGGGCCTCCAGAGTTCAAGCCCACGACGGACCAAAAAAAAAAAAAAAAGTTGTTTTTTGGTTCAGGTAATGAGTACTTGTGTTTTTGAATAGTGAGTTTTGAGCTCTGAGAGCTAGAAGAAAGTGCACAGAAACCTCAGAAGCCATTTGGTACAATGGTCTTCATCCTAACTAGCAATTTCTAAACAGGTGGCTTGGAAAGTATTAATGGCATAGTCTCATTTCCTTTTTGGCTGTGGGTCAGACACTGGTTTTAGCCCAGGGACAGAGCCATGAGCAGAATAAAGTCGATTTGGGTTTTCGTGTAGTCTACAGCAATAGGATTAAATGGGTTTTGAAGCAGGCCCCAGAAGGATTCTCTCTGAAACTTTGAAGATCTGCTTACATTTCTGCCATACCTGTGAAGAAAAATCATCACTGTTTGCTTGATTTGGTCTGGGAGTTTCCAGAGGCATTTCTGAAGCTGGGCGTGGTGTCTCCAGCCTATAATCTGGTTACTTGGGAGGCAGAGGTAAGGGAATTATGGTTGGAGGTTGGCCTGGGCCTTGTTAATGAGTGTGAGTGGCAGGTGGTGTTGTCCACGTCATCTCCCGTGACAGGGGGAAGCACTAGTAGGAGGATCACAATCCGGGATGGTCGAGGAATACAGCAAAACCCCACCTCAGGAATAGCAACACTGCAGATGCTGGTGGTTTATGTCTTTAATCCTAGCTACTGTGGAGGCTGCCCTCTGAGGATCACGGTTTGCAGCCATCTGGACCAGGGGGATCTATGAGAATCTTATGTCCAGTTAATCAGCAAAAAAGCCAGAAGTGGAAGTGTGGGGGCTGGGAAGATGGCTCAGTGGTAGAGCGCTTGCCTTGCATGTATGAGGCCCTGGGTTCGATTCCCCAGCACCACATAAGCAAAAAGAAAAAAAAAAGCCAGAAGTGGTGCTGTGGTTCAAGTGGTAGAGCACTAGCCTTGAGCTGAAGAGCTGAGGGACAGCACCCAGGCCCAGAGTTCAGGCCCTATGACCGGACCCCAAAAAAAAGTGGAAGTGTGGCTCAAGTGGGAAAGCACCAGCCTTGAGCAGAAAAGCTAAGGGACAATGCCCACGCCCTGAGCTCAAGCCTCAGTACAGTTACACACGTACATATACACACAACTAAACCAGGCCAATATGGGCTGGAGATGTGAATAAAGTGGAGGAGTACCTGCCTGAAGTGTGAGGTTCTTAATTCAAACCCCAGTGCCTCCAAAAAGAAAAAAGGCCTCTCTAGATGCCCAAGGCGGGGGCTTGTGTGCAGTTCTCTGTGGATCCTTCATGCAAGGAGAATCCTAGGTCATTCTTTCATTTGTCATGTGTTCAGTGGCTGCTTTTATAAACCTTGCTTCTAGGTGGCTTAGGGCATTTCATTTAAAAATCCGAACAGGCTGGGCCCTGTAGCTCACATCTGCAATCTCAGCTTCTGTAGGGAGAGAGCAGAAGAGTCTGTAATTTAAGGTCAGCCCACGCTGAAAGTCTTATCAAACAACTAGTGAGTGTTCCTGGCTGTGTCCAAGGCATAAAAGGGTCTTGGGTAGAGACTATAAGGTAGTGACTTTATTTGAAAAAGCAAAAAGGTCCAGGTGTGTGTCTCAAGTGATAGAACACCTGGGCTTAGTAACACAAGGCCCTGGGTTCAGCTTGCACTACTAAATAAAATAAGATGGAGAAGGTTTGGATAATCCCAGGGTTCATGAAGGAAGAAATAAAAGAAAGCAGGGAAAGCAACAAAGGTTTCTTGGGGCACTGACTTCTGGCAGGGATTCCTGCTGCTTTTAAAACTAGAGCAGCGGGGAGAGTAAAAGTTGGTGTCTACTCCCTGTTCCCCACACCACTGTGTGAAACCAAGGTCACACAGGTGTGGACACAGCCCCCTCTTGGGTGCCCTTGATGAGTGGTTGGGGGGTAGGAATGCATCAGAGGAAGTGTTTGTCCTGAGTCCAACAATGCAAGCCGTGAGTGCTAAATCTTTGCCTCCTTTGCTCATGTGTGCCTCTCAGTCCCAGCACAGAGCAAATAGATCTGGTTTATGTGGGAACGTGCTTTCCACGCACCGATTTGGACAGTTTTGGAATGCACACATAAGTTGGGAATTCATACAATGCATTGACACATTTACTTGCAGTTGTGGGTTTTGATTTAGTTATTTTCTCTTTCTGTGAGCAAGCGATTTCTTACTTTAAGAGGCGGGCTGTGCTGGCAAGTTTAGTATGTTGAGTTGGTTTTAAAGACTGCGGTTGAGGTGTGCTACAAGGGTGTGCCCAGTATGGGGATGTATTGTGCGTTCTTTGATCTCTACTCTGCGTGCCTTTCAGCATTAAACTGGAGAGAAGATGTCCCTGTATGATGACCTAGGAGTGGAGACCAGTGACTCAAAAACTGAAGGCTGGTCCAAAAACTTCAAACTTCTGCAGTCTCAGCTTCAGGTGAAGAAGGCAGCCCTCACTCAAGCAAAGGTAATGGCAAGACAGGTCCAGTCTCAGGAGCCTGTGTGTGTGCTGGGGGGGTGGGGGGGGGGGGGGGGCGGGGGGGGGGGGGGGGGGGGGGTGGGGGGGGATTGTAGCCTGCCCTTCTTCCTGTTTATTGGCAAGAGGAAGAAAGGCTTAGGTCACTTTGCTTCTTCTGGGAGAATGTCTAGCCAGGGTACTAGTTTTTTTTACTTCAGTCTGTCTGAGTTGGAGGAAATGTATTCAGAACACTAATTTTGTAAGTACAGACAGCCCTGATACAGGCTGGAGCTGCAGCAGTGTGCCTCTTAAGTAGCACCTGCTGGATGGCAATGGGGTGGTGTAGGCGGAGCTCTGCTGAGTAAAGCTGTTGCACACGCATGGCTACAAATGTGTCCTGTATACTTCTAGGTGGAATCAGTCCTGTTACGGTTGTGAAACATATTAGGAATTGGAAATATCCTTGAAATAATGACATATAAAATATGAAAAATACGTCATTGACTTACATTTGACAAGTTGACTTGTTGAATGTTTTTAAAGATAAAGTGATATTGTGCTTGCTTGTTGTTTAAGAGTCCTTATGTGTTAGAGTATGCATTCTTTTTATTATTTTTTGGTTGGCCATGGGGCTTGAACTCTGGGCCTGGGTGCTGTCCCTGAGCTCTTCAGTTCAAGGCAAGCGCTAACCACTTGAGCTACAGCACCACTTCCAGTTTTCTGGTGGCTAATTGGAGATAAGAGTCTCACAGACTTCCCTGCCCGGGCTGGCTTTGAACTGCGATCCTCAGATCTCAGCCTTCTGAGTAGTTAGAATTACAGGTATGAGCCACTGGCACCTGGCAGAGCATGCATTCTTATTCCCTAGTGAGGATACTACTGGTACTTCGATAATGAAAAGATTTTGTTCTTGCTTTTTTTGTTTTGTTTTTGCCAGTCCTGGGGGCTTGTACTCAGGACATGAGCACTGTCCCTGAGCTTCTTTTGCTCAAGGCTAGCACTCTGCCACTTGAACCACAGCACCACTTCGTCTTTTTCTGTTGATGTAGTACTGAGGAATCGAACCCAGGGCTTCATGCATGCTAGGCAAGCACTCTTACCACTAAGCCACATTCCCAGCCAAGATTTTGTTCTTTGTATAAAGCACACAAATAAAAGATCGCAGATAAGCAGCCAGGTGCTGATGCTTAGTAACATGAATTCGATTAGTTTTTCAATCGACATAATTAATGAACAATCTTAATTCAGTGGAAGATAGCAAAATGAAAAGGCAAAGTCAGCCTAAGAGAGAGGCATTCAGTTTTCAAAGTGCTGGAGTTATCAGGTACTAGTGACTTTGAAAAGTTTTGAGGTAGGTTCATCATAAAAGTGGGAGATCAGGATAATAGATCCTAAGAGAAAAGGAAGTCCAGATGCTCAAGTATCTTAGGCCTTCCCAGCATAGCTGTTCCTTTTGAAGGATCCACACACATTACAGTGTGCTGCAGATTTGCCCTCCAGAGGCTAAAATCCTATGTGGAGCTTTCTCACATCTGAACTTCACATGTAAACTTAAATATGAGGGACCACCAACGTGGACTAAGCAAAATAGAACAGGATTGTAATAACTTCTGAGTTAAAATACAGGTGGATTTTTATCATTTCAAATTTTGTACAGAAACTAGGAAAAAAATCTTTGTTACAAGTATTATGAATGTTAATTTGAAACTTCAGTATACCTCTCTTTTTTCTGCTTTTAGAGCCAAAGGACAAAACAAAGCACAGTCCTTGCCCCTGTCATTGACCTGAAGAGGGGCGGTTCCTCAGATGAACGGCAGATAGTGGACACACCACCACATGTAGCGGCTGGGCTGAAGGTAAGCTCACATGTGCCTGTGACCCGGCACGCTTCCATGCATTCAGTAGTTCATGGATTTGTTGCTCCTAATATACAAGCATATCTCAACATGCAGAAAAGAAAAACAACTTTGAATCCTGCTCTTCAGCAATTAAACCTAAGTATTTTTCTGTTATAAGGCTCCTCTGACTTCTGTAACTTGTTTATTTTGGATTAAAATAGAGAAAAGGGACTTTTAAGAAAAGAAAAACACCAAAACATTTTTGTTACCATAAGTTTTCTTATCCCAGTGACTTTATCTAGCTTAGAAACAGCATCTTCCTGTAAGCTGAGTTAATGAGGAATATCTGATAAATGATTATTCAAAATCATTGTTAAAGCTGCACAGAGGAACAAGTGAATTTCATATAAATTGTAGCTATTTCTCTACAGATGACATTCAAATGATATGTGGTAGTATAAGTGACTGACTAAAAAAGATCAAAAGCTTAACAATAGCCAGGCTCCAGTGGCTCACACCTTCTATCCTAGCTACTTGGGGCTGAGATCTAAAGATTGAGGGTCAAAGCCAGCCTGGGCAGGAAAGTTTGTGAGACTCATATCTGCAGTAAAACACCAGAAAGCCAGAAGTGGAGCTGTGGCTCAAGTGGCAGAGTGCCAGCTTTAAGCAAAAAAAGCTCAGAAGCAGCACCCAGGCCCTAAATTCAAGCCCCAGGATTGGCACACGAAAAAGAAACAACTAGTGGTTAGGACAAAAAGAAAGAGCTAGCAGAAGAAAGTATGAAAACTTACAAAAGAAAGTTGAATTAATACCAAATCAATGGTTTCTAACCAACCTATTTTCTGACTGGCTATATATACTGTCTCCCTTTTGTGTTTTCTTGTTCTCTGTTCTGTTTTTGCACTACTTGGGATTGAACCCAGGGCCAAGACAAGTGCTAATCAATGGTTCTACCACTTGAGCCAGTCCCACACTGGTTGATTTTATTTTTTTACATACGGTCTCAAAACTTTTTCCAGGCTGGTCTCAGAACTCACATCTCTGCCTCTGTGGTAGCTGAGGTTACATATGTATACTATCATACCTGGCTTCTAATTTTTTTGTTAAGTTTGTTTCTTTTCTAAAAACTTGATTTTAGAGGAAATAGAATTGGTATCATTGGAACCTGATCGTAATGGTCTTCAAAAAAAATGATGCTGGGATAAGAATTGTATCAGACTCAGATTCTGAAATGCAGGTTACCTGGAAAGAAAGAATTTTCTAGAGAATTTTAGAAGTCCAAGAAACTGCTTTTTAACATCGTAATAATGTAATGTTGGGCCCATCTCATCAAAATCTAAAGTTATTCTAAATGATGACTAACTGTGAATATGTTATTCATGTGTTGTCTAAGTTGCCCAGAATGTTTCTGTAACTAAGAGTTTTTTGCTCCCAAGTGCTGATATTTTGAATGTCAGTTCATGGTGACTTATGTACAAGTGTCATAGAGTAGTTGGAAATAGTGGTAAACTAAGAGGCAAAATACTTCACTGTGGTGCAGCAGGAAAGCTGGCTGCTTGTGCCTGGTGAATGGTGATAACAGGCAATTTTTCTACTCGTCTATAAAGAGGCGGTGTAAGTGATCTTCAGGGCCTCTTTTATTCTGTACCTTAATACTGTGAGTAAACTTGTGCAATGATAACCTAATTGGGTGTTTTTCCTTCCCCAGGACCCTGTTCCCAGTGGGTTTTCTGCAGGAGAAGTTCTCATTCCCTTAGCTGATGAATATGACCCCATGTTTCCTAATGATTATGAGAAAGTCGTGAAGCGCCAGAGGGAAGAGCGGCAGAGGCAGCGTGAGCTGGAAAGACAGAAGGAAATAGAAGAGAGGGAAAAGTAAGGCTTCATTTGGGCTGGGGATATTTTGCAGCTGAAATGTTCATTGGATATTAATGAGTGCCAGCTCTAGGACTGAAGTTAGTTATGTAGATCTGGCAATCCCAGAAAGAGTTAAAATGTTTTTAAGAATTGTGAGGTATTAAAGTCTTTAATATAAATAGTTAATGTCTATTAAATACACAGACCGTAAATCATTTCATGAGTGAATATGTACCTTAGAATACTGTTACCAAGCTGGGCGCTGGTGGCTCAGGCCAGTAATCTAGCTACTCAGGAGGCTGAGATCTGAGGATCATGGTTCAAAGCCAGCCTGGGCTGAAAAGTCCATGAGACTCTTATCTCCAGTAAACCACTAGAAAACCAGAAGAGGCGCTGTGGCTCAAGAGGTAGAGTGCTCGCCTTGAGCTGAAGAGCGCAAGACAGTGCCCAGGCCCAGAGTTCAAGCCCTACAACCAACAAAAAAAAAGGGCTGGGAAGGTGGCTCAGTGATAGAGTGCTAGTGCTTGCCTTGCATGCATGAGGCCCTGGGTTTGATTCCTCAGCACCACATAAGCAAAAAGAAAAAAGCTGGAAGTGGCGCTGTGGCTCAAGTGGTAGAGCGCTAGCCTTGAGCTGAAGAGCTGAGAGACAGCGCCCAGGCCCAGAGTTCGGGCCCATGACCGGACCCCCCCCCCCAAAAAAAAAAAAGTTACCATTCATTTTAATGTTAAAAGTTAAATGTCAAGAAAAATATTTTTCTTGTTATATTTTATAGGCCAAGTTCAGGTTATCTTCTGAATGTTTCCTTTTTATCTTTGCTCTTTTGGTCTTGGGAGCAGTTGAGGCCACTGACATACAAATTAATCATTTATTATGCATGAGGGTTTGTATATTTCTCTGCTAAGAGAAAGTCAAGGTGACATCCCAGCTTCCTGTCTCTAAAATGATGGATGTGAGGTGAACGATCATTCCCTTGTTGTCCCAGGAGGCGTAAAGACAGACATGAAGCTAGTGGGTTTTCAAGGCGGCCAGATCCAGATTCTGATGAAGATGAAGATTATGAGCGAGAAAGAAGGAAAAGAAGTAAGGCTTGCGTGTAAACACTATGTTTCACACATGAGAAATAATCCCTGTATTTGCTTTGTCATCTGCAGTCCCATTAGTCCACATTTTATATAACAACTTCAGCTTATGTCATGTTCATAGACCTTTTCCTTTGAGCTTCAGAAACCCTTTCTGACACTAACGTGTATGCTGTGAGGATAGTGTAGACTCTGTCCCTATACTTTTCCTAACCTGTTATTTGCCTCTAGTCCAGCTGCTCTGTCGCTTTTAACATTAGATGAGGAATGGGGATGGGAACTCAAGAGCATGCTTGTCACCAACACCAGTGAATTTGAAGAGACTGCTTAACCTCTGCATGTTCCACATCTTGCTTGGGAAAGCAGGGAGACAGAAATTTGTCTCTCTCGTGAGCAGAGTTTTAGTTTAACCATTACTAGCTATAATAGGAATTGAAAGAATAGAATGCTTGTTTAGGTTCATGGTGGTGTGATCACAAATGAGAATAAATGAAGAATTTGAATCTTCTGTTTGCCTGTTAGATATCAGACACTCTTTTGCATTCTCATGGAGTTTTTCCTGTAACCTTCACAGCTCTGAACAGGCTCTGCTACTCTCCCCTGCTTTGTAAGCCTGGAACAGGAGGGCATGAATGCTTTGCATATCATACAGGTCCATTTTTCGTCTTACCCATGATTTTTATTTGCCTGTAACCCTTGTTACAATGTTACTGTTACCATCTTATCTAAGGGGGTTCAATACTCCAGTGGACCCTTGGACTGCCACTAATAGATTGGTGTGCTTTAATCTGGTTTGTAGCAACTTGCCAGTAAAAACCCAGAACCTTTCTTTATTGAACTTATTAACATCAGTTTGCTTTCCAAAGCACATCAGAATTTGTTTAAAAAATGATAGGAAATATTCCAAAGAACTGTAAGAAGGTTTTATTCGGGTTCATCTTTCTTCGTAGGTGATTTTTATCACCCAGGCTGTGAGCCATAGTGCATCTGTAGTGGTTTTAATGCCTTTCAGGCATTTTATGTTGGTGACATAGCATGGTTTTGTAACCAATTTTAATTTACATTTTTAAGTTATTTTATTTGTTAAGCCATGCTACATTGTGGAGGAGGGACATTGAGACCCATTCTCCCTGTGTAGCCTGGGTGGGCCTGGAAGCAGCCATGTAGTAACTTTACCAGCCTGGGGCTCACAGTCCTTTTGCCTCCATCTCCTAGGATGCAGGATGCTAGAATGCAGGCATGTACCACCATGCCTGGCCCATAATACCTTAGAGCTCACACCTAATGGAAAATTTCCTAATGTCCACTCGTGTTCTCTTTCCAGTTGTCACACAGCCAATGGAAAGTTCTCTCGTATCTTTTGGTTTGTTTGTGTCTACATTCCCTACCCAGTGAACCCCAGCAGGATTGTGACAGTGTGTTCTAACCACTTCTTCAGGAGCCACTTCCAATAAAGTGTTAAGTTTCAGGAGTTTGTGTCACTGAAGCGTAGAGGAGGGGTCTCCCAGCTTTCCAGCTTCCCTGCAAAATCGCAAGTCCTTGAGAGCTCATAAAAGCATTTCAGGGTGTTTCACAAAAAGAGTTACACATAAGGTGAAAGTTTTAACAAGGGTTTATTTTAGTGAGACAGAGTTAAAATAGGGAGAATACATAAAGAGAGAAACATTTCCTGCCTCTCATGTGGGTAATGGGAGTTAAAGACTCAAAATGGCCATTCTTAATTGAAGCTTGCATGCTTTTTGAGCTAGGTGAATATACCTGGTCTTGTCTATATAGCAATTCTCAGTCCTTAGACAGTGGTTCTGGGTGGGCAAGATGGCCAAGGCCTGCCAAAACCCACATCACCTCCAGGACTTCCTGTTGCCAGATGTGTCCTTTATTCTTTCTCTTTCTACCCTTTTATGAGGAATTCCTAGATCTCTAATATTTCAGAGAAAGTAGATTTAGATTGCCCCTCCTATGTCCCCTAATCTTGTAACAACATTAAAGAAAAAAAGCAAACCCACAGTATGGTGAGTGAGGAAGTTACCTGCTTTTTTAGTTTACTTGTTTGTTTTAACTTTTGAGTCTGGCCCTTCTGACATTTGCTAAATAACACAATTTCCCTGCTTCATCTGTCCTAGCTCAGTTTTGCACCCTGTTAGAGAAACTTGCTGTGTGCTGGGTGTGTACTGTTTTACTCCACTTCTCCTCATTTGTTCTCTGGTTACTTTCTGAACGGAAAATGGTAATAACCTGCTTCCAAGGTTTCTAAAGTTAGAGGTTGTGTATTACAAGCATCAGATGAGTGATACATTTATAGCAAATAATTATGCTACTCTTAAGGATACTGTTAGGCTGGATTTTTATATTTTATCTTAAAATTCACTTGATAATTCCATTCTGGGGATTTTGAATGCCTGTTGGACAACAGTTTTGTGTGTCTGAGTTTCACTAATTTTCTATACTTCTAATTCTAGCTTTAGATGCCTGATGACTTAGATGTTAGGAATGGAGTAGCAGGATTTTTTTTTCCTTCTCTCCAGGAGGGATGGGTGGACAAATCCGGCAAGTGGACATGACAGGTGTTGCAGTCCTTACGAGCCTATGAAAAAGTCTCCTTTATTTATTTGTGGGGGCAGTACTTGGGATTGAACTCAAGCTTTCAAGCTTCCTAGGCCAGTGTTCTGCCATTTGAGTCATGCAGTTAGCCTTGGTTTTTCCTCCTTTAAGCACTGTGTTTATATTTTTGCAGGTATGGGCGGAGCTGCCATTGCCCCACCCACTTCTCTTGTGGAGAAAGACAAGGAGTGTAAGTAGTTCTCTTCTGCTCTGTGATACAATTTTTTTTAACCCTGTTGTGGTGACTAAGCTTTGATTCCTGAGTTTCCTGAGTTTAGGTCTTTGCCTGGAACCTGTCTCCTCTCAGAACTCCTGATACCACTGGGGGTTGGGTCTGATGCTCACTTCTGCTCTGGTAGTTAGGAGGCATTTCTTACCATGCCCTTTTTTTTGTTTTGTTTTCTTTTTTTGTCTACAGTACCCAAGTTTGACGACCACTTGAGACATGCCCCTTTTGCTTTTTTGTTGAAATGGACTCTTGCTAACTTTTTTCTGGGCTGATCCTCCTGATCTCTGCCTCCTGGGTTGTTACTGAAGTTGCAGTTGTGAGCCACCACATTGAGCGTATCAGGCCATGTTTATGCCAGTCTCTGAGGCTTAGATTTTTATACAGTGGAGTCCATCTTTTTTTTAATCTATTTGTTTTGCTTCCCCCCCCCCATTTAGAATTAATGAAAACAAAAGTAAACACATTACCAAAAACAAAAGTATGTTTTTTGCTCATAGGATTAGGACCTGTTATATTCATGACCTTTCTCAAGGGGACAGTACCTTCCTTGGTTAAATTGTTTTCTGTAATTCTCTGAGTAGATAGATGTGTGCCTGTTATTCTGTCCTCTGTCAGAATGTGTCCTCCTGCTTCTCCAGAGCTCTTCTAGAATCTGGGGGTTGGGCTTGGGCTTGGAAGTTGCATGCAGATCATTTTTTCATGCACAGAGTTGAGCCATACATGCGGTATCATAACTAAATGTGATCAACTCTAATATTCCTTTGATATAGTACACTATTTGTGCTATTTTTAAAGAATGTAATTTTTTTAAATATTGCTACATACCTATTAACAAACATCCCCAATTGAAACCAGTCTCTGAGAATAGGACTCAGGTATCAGGAGAGTTTACAGCTTCCCATGGTTCTGCTGTTTATCTGAGTTGAAAGCCCTGTTGGATGCATGGCTTTGACCTCACACCTTTCTGTCTGAGAGGCCAAGGAGGAAAGTTAAAGAATCTTAGGACAGGCACACAGATACTATGAGAATCAGGGTTGTATATCTTAAAGATTTAAGCAAGAAAATTGTAAAGACTTTAAAGAATAAATAGCCCTTGAGTAATGCAAGAACAACATTTGAGGGGATATAAGCCGTAGAAGAAGCAAAAGTACTGTCCTACCTCTGTTTAAAAAAGAATTTATATAAAAGAGGATTACATAAAATTTACCTTTTTCTTTGTAGTAAGCAAAAAATGTAGATTAAATCATTTCAACATAAATAATTGATACAAGATCAGATTTAGTAGTATTTTAGTGAACTTTTATCTTTCTCCATCAGTACCCCGAGATTTTCCTTACGAAGAGGATTCAAGGCCCCGGTCACAGTCTTCCAAAGCTGCTATTCCCCCTCCAGTGTATGAAGAACCCGACAGGCCCAGGTCTCCAACTGGGCCCAGTAACTCCTTCCTTGCTAACATGGGGTAAGACTTGAGGGTTGTACAGAAGAAAATGTACACGTGGCTCCAGGAACTCTGTGAAACATCGGTGCCTTTTCCAATAGAACAGCTCATTTGAAAATGGGACCTTTGGGCCTTCAGGAAGATTTGTGGTATATTTGATTACACAGGGTCCTCTGCTCAGGGATGGGCATTCAAGGCATGTTTGACTTTGTTCCAGCTGTGGTTTTGTGTTAAACAGGAAGTCTTGACTACTAGGTGATGAAAATTATTTTCTGTGCAGGAACAGTTTTTGCTAATGTTTTACAGATACTGTTGTAATACTTGCAAGAAAAATGGCTCAAATCCGGGCTCCAGTGGCTCACACCTATAATCCTAGCTACTCAGGGGCTGAGATCTGAGGACCAAGGTTCAAAGCCAGCCCAGGCAGGAAAGTCCATGAGACTCTTATCTCCAGTACACCACCAGAAACATGGAAGTGGCATTGTGGCTCAAGTGGTAGAGCACTAGCCTTGAATTGAAGAGCTCAGGGACAGTGCCCAGGCCTAGAGTTCAAGCCCCAAGAGTGACCAAAAAAAAAGGCTCAGGAATAGAATTAGAGCTTAGCTTATTTCCTTTTTCCTTTATGTATCTCTTTTTCCTAATCAAATGGGTCATTTGCCTGAAGGTCCTGGCCCTGTACCTTTGGTTTCAAACATGGTTTGAGTGAATGACCTGGGGCAGTACATATACTAAAATTAGAACCATGTGGAGAAGATTGGAAAGACACAAATTCCTCAGTGTTCCATATTAAAAACAAAAGCAAAAAAAAAAAAACCTTTGGTTTGAGTTACAAATACAAGTAGGTCACTCTAACTATAATTGGATATTTGTTTGAGTATAAAAATCAATTTTAAGTCTGACCTTCTGGTAGGACTTGTGGATTTTTCTTTTTAACCCCAGTAGACTAGCCATGCATTTCGGTTAAGAGAACATTTTTTATGTTGTTTATGATTCTATGAAGGACCATGGAACACATCAGAGTCACAGTAAGTTCTTTGTTGGGTGGGAACCAGACACTTCCTGTGGTGAACCACAGCTGGTGACAGAGAGCATGACCCGACGTGGCCTGGTGCTACTTTGACGTGCTCACTTGCCTCTGCTTTGGTTGTCAGTCCTCAGGGCAGTGACTGGTCAGAGTGGAGTAGATAGAACTTTAGTTTCTCCTTCCCACTGCTGTCATTTCAAGTGCTCAGCCACTCGTAGCTAGTGGTAACAGTGCGGGTACGCATACATTGCCATTACTGCTATGAGTCTTCCTGGACATGGCCGCCTTAGGATGTCTAGACGTGGAAGTGCTACTGGGTTTGGAGTGCGCCCCTCCCCCTTATGATAAAAGGTGACTAGTTCCCCTATAAAAATGAATTAGATCGGGTTGGGAAGGTAGCTCAGTGGTAGAGTGCATGCCTTGCATGCATGAGGCCCTGGGTTCGATTCCTCAACACCACATAAGCAGAAAAAGCCAGAAGTGGCACTGTGGCTCAAGTGGTAGAGTGCTAGCCTTGAGCTGAAGAGCTGAGGGACAGCACCCAGGCCCAGAGTTCAGGCCCCATGACTGGCAAAGAAAAAGAATTAGAGCTTAGCTGGGAATCAGTAGCTCACGCTTGTAATCCTACCTACTCAGGAAGCTGAGATCTGAGGATCATAGTTCAAAGCCAGGAAAGTCCATGAGACTGTTATCTCCAATTAACCACCAGAAAACCGGAAGTGGCACTGGCTCAAGTAGTAGAGCCACTAGCGTTGAGCTGAAGAGCTCAGGGACAGCACTTAGGCCCAAAGTTCAAGCCCCATGACCAACCAAAAAAAAGAATTAGATCTTGAGCTTATCCTTAAGAAAGATGCATTGTGCTATGTATAGCTTTGTGGTTTTAGTCTTTTTTTGCCCTGGAATAGTTTGTTCAAAAAAAGTCTAAAAACTGTGAAAGATGAAGTATGGAGACGTAGTTCTAATAGAAACAGGATTTCATGCCTCAAGGCTAAGCAAAGGCTGTCATTCAGAAGTGCCTTAAGATTCAGCAGGCACTGTAATGTAATAGAAGGATGCTCCTAACTGTTAAAGAGGTGAGAAGCCAGGTGCCAGGGGCTCGTGTCTGTAATCCTAGCTACTTAGGAGGCTGTGACCTGAAGACTGAGGTTCAAAGATAGCCCTAGCAGGCAAATCCAGGAAATACTTTTTTTTTTCTTTTTTTTTTCCTATTTTGGTCAGTTGTGGGGCTTCAACTCAGGACCTAGGTGTTTTCCCTAACCTCTTTTGCTCAAGGCTAGTGCTCTATCACTTTGATTCACAGCACCACTTCTAGCTTTTGAGTGGTTAATTGGAGATGAGTCTGCCCAGGGTTGGCTTTGAACCACAATCCTCAGATCTCAGCCTCTTGAGTATTTAGGATTACAGGTGTGAGCCCCTGGTTCCTGGCCCAGGAAATTCTTTGTCTCCACTTATCCAGCAAAAATAGAAGTGTCACTCAAATGGTAGAATGCCAGCCTTGAGCAAAAAGCAAAAGCAAGAGTATTTGAAGCCCAGAGTTCAAGTCCCAGTATTGGCACCAAAACAAAATGAAACACACAAAAAAAATGGGCTCAGAAACATGAGTTTGGATGCTGTTTCACTTCTACCATAACACCAATGGAAATAGTTCCAATTGAGACCTCTTTTATTGTGCCCAATCTTAGGTGAGTTACTACTCTTGGCCTTGTTGTTGTTTTCCATGTGTTACACCTTAGATGATCTCCTAAGGTTCTTGCATTTGAAAGTTTATTATGCAATTTAGAAAAATACCACCATCTTCATTCTGAAACTTCAGTCTTAAGTTCTTGACAGTGGTCATAAGCAGTGTAGCAATGCAGGCAGGGAGCACAGAAGGAGGAGAAGTCATCAGAGAAAAGTAAGGCTCCTCTAGAGGTAAACATTATCCTGGGTGGCACTCATTTGTTTTGCTTTGTTTATGCTGGTCCTGGGGCTCAAACTCAGGGTCTAGGAGCTTGTCCTTAGCTTTTTCACTCAAGGCCGGTGCTCTACCTCTTGAGTCACACTCCCATTTCCAGCTTTTTGTTGGTTAATTGGAGATAAGGTCTTACCGACTCTCTTGCCCAGACTGGCTTGGAAATGTGATCCTCAGATCTCAGCCTTCTGAGTAGCTAGGATTATAGGCATGAACCACCAGTGCCCAGCTTCATTGTTTTCTTTTACATTGAACGTCCTGAACATCTAAAGACTTACTGTTGTATGTGATCTCTCACCAGAAGGTGATAGCTATGAAACAAAATCCAGCCTAAGCTGTACTTGGCAGCATTGACTCTAAGGGCCCTTTTCCATTGTTCTCCTCCTAGGGGCACAGTAGCACATAAGATCATGCAGAAGTACGGCTTCCGGGAAGGCCAGGGACTGGGGAAGCACGAGCAAGGGCTGAGCACCGCGTTGTCTGTGGAGAAGACCAGCAAAAGGGGCGGCAAGATCATCGTGGGTGACGCCACCGAGAAGGGAGAGGCTCAGGGTGAGTGCAGAGAGGAGGCGCACCCTCCTCCGTCAGCAGATGTCAGTCCTGCGCTCTAAGAGGGTGCATTTCCATTTCTGTTTGTGAAGAAAGAGTCCTGAGGCTCATCTTTTGCTTTGTCAGAACTGAGGTAGAGAGATGAAGGCCTGTGAGAGGACAAGCTAAAGCTTGGGCAGAAAATAAATAGCCCTGAGGAAAATAATGTCATACCTGCTTTGACTAGCAAAACATCTTGTTGGCCTCCTAGAAGTGTTCGTTTTCATAGCGTGTATGCATGCCTGTGTCTGATCTTTTCCATAGTTCTTTTCCCCAAAATTTGTTACAGATGTGGTTCCTCATTTTCATACAAACGGCTTTCTGTCTACTGTTGCTTTGTCATCTGTAGTTGATGTCTTAGTATTTTGTTCTCATTTGATTTCTATAATCTTCTGTACTGAAGGCCTGTAGCAATAAGATAAACATGTCTTAGCATTTTAAACAGAAAAATGAGTTGATTTTTGAGTCAACGTAGCTGAATTCTTTTTCCTAGAAGAAAAAACCGTAAAGTACCCACTTGCTCTGCAACTCAGTGAGCCTGGATGTATTTGCTAAAAACAGTAGTGTCCTAATTGTGACAGTATCTGAAAGCCAGTGCTTCAGATGTTCCTGCTGGGCTGGGAAGGTGGCTCAGTGGTAGAGTGCGTGCCTTGCATGCATGAGGCCCTGGGTTCGATTCTTCAGCACCACATAAGCAAAAAGTAAAATGCCAGAAGTGGCGCTGTGGCTCAAGTGGTAGAGCGCTAGCCTTGAGCTGAAGAGCTGAGGGACAGCACTCAGGTCCAGAGTTCAGGCCCCAAGACTGGATCCAAAAAAAAAAAACAGATGTTCCTGCTTACTGCTGTGGGCTAGTAACCATGAACTGTTAGTCTAGCTAGGACTCACCAATCAGGGTCATACTGTGCTGTGTCCACCCTTTAGGAGGTAAAATATAAGCCAAAACTGGAAGGTAGTGGTAGAAGCTAGAAACTTCCAGCAAATAATATGAAAGCATATACAAGAGCAAAGGAGGTGTTTATATTGCAGAGGTTGATTACAGAGATACTCATTGATGACTTGGGACACAACTATTGTGTTTACTATTAGGTAATTAGTCACAATAATAGGACTTAGTTCCGTAATGTCTGATGATTTGTTTTAATACAGATGCATCCAAGAAGTCGGATTCAAATCCATTAACAGAGATACTTAAGTGCCCTACTAAAGTGGTTCTGCTGAGGGTAAGAAGCAAAAGAATGATACCAGTCTTACCTTGATTTTTGTGTGTTGCCCCATCCTACCCCTACTGCTATCATAAAGGTTAAGGCTGAAGACTGGACATGGTGGCTCACACCTGTAATCCCAGCTGCTTGGGAGGTAGAAATGGAGAGAATTGTGGCTTGATGCCATACTAGTTCAGAAATTGTTAAGACCCCGGGAATGGTGACACAAGCCTTTCACTCTAGCTGCACGTGAGGAAAGTTAAAGAAAACTGAAAATTTTATAAGACATTAGCAAATAGCACCTTCAGATAGGTCCGGTGGTGATTGGTTTTTATCTTACCTGTCACTCAAGTACCAGTTTCTTTGCTAAATACATAATGTTGTGAGTAATTGCTTAAATGTGAGATTGCTAGTAATTCTGCTTCATTTGATGCTTGAATAGATGACCTTGTAACTCTTTTCAAAGCTTAATATATTTTTAAAGAAATGGCAGCTTTTAGATATGTCAAGGACAGTTTTTCATTGCATCATTTGGGATTAAGAATATTTGCTGTTACGAATGAAAGTTTTGTTTATAAAACTATTACAGGGGCTGAAAGCTTGGCCCAGCAGTTGTCACACCAGGCAAGGTGGAAGCCCTGAGTTCAACTCCACACTTCCCCAAAATACACCCCCTTCAAAAACAACCCTCTGTTACATATGTGTAATTATACTTGGGAACTTGAATATTTTGTTTGTTTGTAGAACATGGTTGGTGCAGGAGAAGTAGATGAAGACTTGGAAGTTGAAACCAAGGAAGAATGTGAAAAATACGGCAAAGTTGGGAAATGTGTGATATTTGAAGTAAGAGGGGTTTTTGTGTTTCTGGTTTTTTTTTTTTATGTTATTGATTATGTTTTAATTGGCAAGTTAGAAAACATGCTACAAATAGAAAGCTAGAATATTACTGTATGTAACACCGTCTTGCTGTGACATATTGATTAGTTGCATTTCTCATTTATACCAATTTTGATCATAATGATTTCAGATTTTATTTGGGGAAGAAGTGGAAATGTTTCATTTACGATTGAGGGTCAGCATAGTGATTACAAGCTTTGATTAAATGTTGAGATTAGACATGTGTGAGATTCCCAATATTTTTATTACCTGTTACATATTCCCTTCTGTATTGGGAGTGTTTAGGATACAGGAAACATGTTCTCTACTCTCAGGGGTTATGTTTAGTTGAAGAAATACAAACACATTAACTAGAGAATATTTAGTTGCTAGTTTGGTAATACTGATGATAAGCATAGCAGTTGAGAAAAAGGTCATCAAGAAAAATAGAGAAGGCTTTAAACAGTATCAGATGTGGGGCTGGGAAGGTGGCTCAATGGTAGAGCACTTGCCTTTTGCATGCCTGAGGCCCTGGGTTCGATTCCTCAGCACCACGTAAGCAAAAAGAAAAAAGCTAGAAGTGGCGTTGTGGTTCAAGTGTTAGAGCGCTAGCCTTGAGCTGAAGAGCTGAGGGACAGCGCTCAGGCCCAGAATTCAGGCCCCACGACCAGACCCCAAAAAAAAAAAATATGTAGCAGAAACTCAAAAAAGGAAACATGAAAAAAAATACTCTGTAGTAAGGCTCATTACCAGGGTAAGAGCTGTTTGGAAAAAACAGTAATACTGCTGAACATACATTTAATGTAGCTCTTGGGAGCCTGAGGTCAGGGATCTTGAATTCAGAGTTCAGCCTGGACTACATAATGAGACCCTGTCTCACAAATCCACAAAAGGCGCTAATGAGTTAATTACCTCAGGTGATAGAATCCTGCTTAGTAGGCACAAGAATTCATGGCCCTGAGTTAAAACGCTTGTACCACCTCCCTGAAAAAGAACAAAATCCAGAAGAAAGAAAAAATAAAAAAATTCTCACCCCTGTATTTTGTTCCTTGCTTTCCCCAACATTACATGGGACTTTGCCCATCGGATGGCTGAAAGGTGCAAACCTGTGTTTTTTCTTAGGTTATTATGATGAGAAAGTGCAGTGTATTTTTTTCCTCTTGGCCAGGAGAAAATACTTAGCATTTCTACTTACTAAAATTGAAACGAGTTTTGTGATTAATAATCCACATCACATAAAGGCTTAAAGAATAAAAGTTAAAAAGTATTTCATAACAGTATGAAGGAAAAACAGCCCTGAAGTTGAGACTGCTGTACCATGAAATTGCCTGTCATCACAGGGACCTGACCCATACCGAATGTGACAGTGCTTAGTGTAATCTGAATAAACTCTTTAATTGCTAAGGTACAAGTTCCAAACTGTAATGTTCACAGTTATGCATATGTAACTATGTATAACATATTCACATTATGGTGTATTTGCCTTAGATGGCTTTTCCAGCATCTTTATCAACAGCTAAAGAGATGCAGGTGACTCACTATTGCTTTCATCTGATGGCAGAGCCTAGTGAATTGCCCCAATTTCTTCATTACTTTATAAATTGTAACTGCAGTAATCATTGAGTGCATCTGTAATTCAGTATTAACAAATACAAATTCAGTATGAATGAAAAGTTAGCTGAACTACACTATAGGTAGCAAGGTCCGATGTAACAGTGATTTGTCATTTTTGGTGGCCCAGACAAGTTTTCTTCCTTCACTCCCCTCCCCCAGAGACAGTGCTCTTCAGCTGGGCTTGCTAGTCGTTAGGGTATGTGCTACAGTCATCCCATCAGACCGAGACTTCTTGTGGGAGGAGTTCTGTCTGCACTTTGTCAGGGGTTGTCTGTGCAGTAGAGTCTGGCATTGGGACAGCAGTGGATGGATGGGCGTGCATGGTGCCCAGCAGGGCAGGATGGAGTGGTATAGGGATTTCCTGACTTAGGTAATATCACCAGGCTTCCCCCTAGCAGCCTGAAGATTCACTATTGGATTTGTTTTTTAATTCCTTTTCTGCTTATAGAAACTAGAATGGGTTCTTTCATTCATTAAGAAATGTGACTAACATGCCTGGAATGTCAAGTGATAAATGATCAGCCTCAAGAGGTAGGGCACAATCAGCCAGGATGCATCTTCCTTAGGCTGACAACCGTGAACCCATTCACTTTGGTAAAATATTTAGCCACCCCTGTCTGTGCTGTGGTCCAGAAAACTGAATGGACTGATGTCAGGGGAAACAAGATGGTTGACAGCAGGTCATTGGGCAGCTGTACTGAATCTGGTGTGGAGAGTCAAACCCTGGTTCTACCACTCAGCATGTGAAAGCGGAAATGTAGAGTTGTTAGGAGTCAGTAGAGCAAAACCAACTTTCAACCTTTTTTTTCCCACTGGTTATTTCTGAGATAGAACCTCCATTTTTGCATGGATGCAAACCTGACCCACGATCCTCCTATCACACATCTGCTGCAGCTGGAATGACAAGTACCAGCTTCTGTTGAGATGGACTCTCACAACTGCTCTGCTCTGGCTGCCGCCCAGAGCAGAGGCATGAGTGACCAGCACCTGGCCCAGTCAGTTCTTAAATTTACTCACATTAAGGTTTATTCAGCATTTCATAAAGTTTTGTGTGTTTTAACAAATGTTTAATATTCCATTTTCACCATTATAGTATTATGTAGAATAATGTCACTTTTTTTAAGTTTTAGCCTGGATTTATTTTAGTGTTTCAGGATTAAAGTAGGGAGAAAAGAAGAGAAACATTTCCTGCTCCCCCAAGCAGAAAGTAAGAGTTATAGATTATTAATTTCAATGCCTCAGGGGGAAAAAATCCCTATATTTCACTTGTTTCTTCAAACCCACCCCTGGCAACTATTGATGTGTTCATCATCAGTAGTTTGCCTTTTCCAGAATGCCTGAAATCATACAGTATATACCTGAAACCATACAGTATATACCTTTTCTTTGCACATTTGTCGGTTGTAGGGCTTGAACTCAGGGCCTACACACTCTTCCTGAGCTAGCTGAAGACTAGCACTCTACCACTTTGAGCAATAGCTCCACTTCTGGTTATCTAGTGGTTAATTGGAGATAAGAGTCTTATGGACTTCCCTGCTTAGGCTGGGCTTGAACCGTGATCCTGAGATCTCAGCCTCTTACAGGTATGAGCCACTAGAAGCCAGCTTCTCATTTCTTCCCATAGTTTTCTTACACCTAGTGAGCTGCTACTCATGCAAGGCTCTTTTTATTTCTTCTCTTACCTTCCTCTCCCCGCAACTTATGATGGAAAAGTCCTCGCCGTTTCCTCCATGGTGACTGCTTTCAGGTCTTGGCCAAATCACTCTGGTGTCTGCCTCCGTGTTTCTAAATACATCTTTGCAGGCTTCCTGCACCTCTGCTATGCCGCCGCCTTGTCAGACAAGCATGTGCAGTCCGCATCCTCATCCATTCACTCTGCAACCCACAATCCAGAAACCAGGGTATTGACTCCATTGCACTTATCCAGCAGCAGGGCTGACGCCCAGGGGCCACTCCATGCACAAGGAGGCCAGAAGGCTGCCTGCAGGAGGAAGACCTGATTTCATGGGAGATATTGATGCGTGTACTCATGAAAGGTAATCGTGGTATACAGTGAGCTTAGCTAAGAGCAACAAATACTGGGTACTGGTGTGTCTCCAGCTTGAAAGAATCAATTCAGAAGGTAGGAGGGGGTCGCAGAAACTATGGGGAGACTTGGGATTTATAGAACCATCTGGTAAGTCATTAACAGGGAAATCTAAAAGGAAGTCCTGTTTTTGGTGGGCAGTTGTAGGTGACTGAGAGGCTGATGAAAGAAGACTTCCTTGATTTCCCCTCCTCGTCGAAGACTAACTCGATTTCCCTTCCTCATTGATCCTGGCCCAGGGACTCAGTATCTCTCCCTCTGACTCTATTTCTCTTCTTCACTCTCTGCTCAGTGACTGCTGAGCACCACCCTCCCTGCCTTGGTGAAGGGATCACCTTCAGTTCTGCCATTTCCTTGTTGCCTGGCCAGTTAGTGTACCTCGGTCCCCTGGGCAAGGGACTGCATTATAAAATATTCAGCTCTGCACCAAGACTGGGGAGTGGGGAGGAGGGGAAAGGCTGGGAATGGGGATGAGCAGAGGACATGAGTGTGGGGCACAGGCAATGCAGCACAGCACCCAGACACCTCTCTGTCTTCCCCAAGTCTTACCTTGGAGTGTGAGACACTAAATTGCAAGGCATGGATGAGGCATGTTTTAGAGATGGGATCTCTCTTGTTTGTATAGGTGGATATTGAACTTGTAGGTCCAAGTGATTCTCCTTAGCCTTTGGAGTAGCTGAGACTACAGGTGTGAACCATTACACCCAATATATAGCTATATATAGATACATTTTTGTATTAAAAAAAACTTTTTTGCTGTTCCTGGGGCCTAAACTCAGGGCCCAGGCACTGCCCCCTGAGCTTTTTTGCTCAAGGCTAGCTCTCTACCATTTGAGCCACAGCTCTACTTAAATCTCCAATTTTATTGGAGGTAAGTCACAGACTTTCCTACCCAGGCTGGCTTTGAACTGCAACCCTCAGATCTCAGCCTCTTGAATAGCTGGGATTACAGGCATGAGCCACCAATGCCTGGCTAATTTTAATTAATTTTTTAGCCAATATCTTAGTCTATACACCAGGCTATACACAGTCCTCTTGCCTTCTCTTCCACAGTAGCTGGAATTACAGGCGTGCACCACCACTCCAAGCCTCACCCTAAAAAACAAAGTGAGTAATATTCACTAGGATAAAGAGACTTCCGAGGGCAGTTGCTTATAAAATGTATGAGTGCATCCACCCCAGCAGTAAGAGTGGGATATACTTCTCACATTTTGCTACATCTCACCAACCTTATTATTTTTTATAACAATGACTGTGCAGGAATGAGGTGATTATTTTTTCCTCCAAGCATTTGGACAAAGCATATTTCTTGGTGACAAAAATAAATCTCCCTCCTCCCATGTCCTTTCAGGCTTCCCACCAGTCACCCACATAGCCTCTGTCTAATGACAACCTTTGGGACAACCCAGAAGTTGCTCCCAAAGACAGAGAAAGAACATTTCTAATGGAGTAGTGCTACCAAACTTACTGTGCCATTTGATGGCCTATAAGCAAGCTTGTCTGTGTGGAAATGTGTCATCTTCCCAGAAAGATATTTAAAGCTCTGTCTAAATCAAATGAGTTTGGAAACACTGGATAGGGGGAGGGGGGGAGGAAGGGAAGAGCCGAGGGACAATAGTGATATCATTGGCTTTTTCCATGCTACAAGATGCCTTCGCTTCTTATTTACATACAGTAAGAAATGTTAAGGGAAATTATGTATTTGTGCCAATTAGCCACAGCAGTAGTGTTTGATGAATACTTTTAGACTCCATGAGAATGATCCTAAAACCATGGTTAAATGGTTGTCAAATATGTAAACAATGAGGCTAATAAACAGATGATGGTATATTATGATTGGCCTTAAGCTTAGAGCATAGAGAAGAGACACTGTTTTCCTTATTTATTTACTTGTGTTTGTTTGTTTTTGAGACAGGGTCTCATTAGATGATAGCCCAGGGTGGTCTGCAATTCACTATGTCCTCCAACCTGACCTCAAACTCATGATTCTCCTACCGCAGTCTCCTGCTTTATTAAAGCTGTTGAATACTCTCATCCACACTGAACTTCATGTGTTTAACTGGATCTCAGTTTCCTTGAACCTGAAAAGGCCAATAGACTCAGCCTCTGAAGAGAGACAACTTGGCCTCTTAGAACCATCTTGTCCATCCAGCCAATGATAGGACACAAAGCAGCCTTGGTCAAATGGGAAAACCCTGATCAGATACTAAAACGTGGTGCACAGTAGAGAGGGAAGGTAGTAGGCAGCGGAGAGTCAGCCATTTGCGGCTGGAGTGAGGGACTTCACAGTTGATGGTGAACAGTCCGTTTTAATGTCACCTGACCCACAGACCTGAGCTACAGTGTAAACCAATGGGAAGAATTCACCTTGCTGATGTAATTATTAAAGGAAAACTCTGCTACCTTGGCCTTTGCTACATAGCCTTTGCTGTAATCATTTGCAGCCCACAGGTCATTAGCTTAAGGAAGACAACCTCATACTTCTAGATATGTACATCTTGGTAAGGAGAGTGGAAAAACTTGCTAAGGTTCAGTATCTTCCAAATCCTTGGGAGACAGTGTGTTCTAACAGATAGATGGGCTGGAGGCAGGGCGGGGAGAAGGAGGGCTATGAAAGTCCACCCAGTTCCCTTTCTTATATTGGATTTCTTAGAAATATTAAAT